TATATATATATATATATTTGTAAATAAGAATTTCACATGAACTTTTGTTAACCTACCGTTCTCGGCACTGTTTTCCTATCCGACCGGGCAAAGATTTGGCTATCAAAGACCATTTTGTAGGTCCATGTATAGACACCAATTCAACTATTTTATCATCCTCCTGCAGGCCAACCAAGAGAAGTTAATGCTTGATTAGGATTGTAAGAAAATAACAAAAATAGAAAAGAAATGGGGCTAGGTTTAAACCTCCTGAGTCCAAGGTCCTTTAACGAGTTCTGGATTAAGAACTTTTTGCCATCTATGCAGACATTGAACTTCCGTTCTATCCGGAAAAAACTCAGCTGCATTCCAGATTTAAAATTGGTTTCACAAAAAGAGCATAATGGAAAGCACTCAGTACCCAAAATCCTATGTACATGTTGAATATACTCCCACAAACTAAATCCATTGGCTCATAGTTCAGACTTCATACACATAATAATTCTCCTTAACAGAAAAAATTGCGGCCAAACAAGGAAAGGTGCAAATAGAGATTTAGGGGATTTTATTTCTGTGGTTTCATTCTGACTTTTTTGACATCTAAAATTGACATATTAGCAAGTTTATCCTCGAACCTATTTTTTTAATTATATACTTGTCTTTTTTAAAAGCTTCTTTGAAGGCAAGGAGTTTTGAAAAACTGAGTATTAGGTTTTATGTAATTTATTATAGATATCAACAATCTTAAGTCCTTCAATTCATATATCTCAGTTAAGTTTGATCATCCATTATATCTTAACAAAGTCACTCCTGATTTTACTAGCATGCATCAACTAAATAAAGTTTTAAATCAAAATACAAAAGGTCATCACTACATAGCAAATAAATGCATATACCTATTTTCTTCCAATTCTTTGCGTTAAAAGCTGAAACAGCCTTCCTTAATGTCTCATCCTGAAGAGCAAGTTGAAGAAAGAACTTTAGTTCAATCACTAATAAAGATACAAGTAGCAATAAGGACAATATCCAGAACTCAATCTACAACAACTTAAAACCATAATTATATCAACATTTCCTTCAATATAGATAAATATTAACAGACATTAAGTCAACTAAGCTGAATTCTCTAGTTAAGCATCTTCCTAAGAAGCAAAAGGACTCATAAAAAACTAAAAAAAAAAAAAAAAATTTAACAAGTAAAGAACAAACCATCTCCATAGACTAACCTCCGCCGCAGTCCAACCACCCTTTGCACGTCTAACAGGGCCGGTGGTTCTCCTGCATAAATACAGTGCATCAAGATTTTAGAAAGATTATCCAAAGCAAAAGTAAAATCAACTGCTACAGAATGCAAAATTAAGCAAAAACAATAAACAATGTTACCGATTAGATGGCAATGCTGATCCCGGGCTACATTTCCTTGATGAAATGAGCATAACATTGTCATTGTCTTTGGCTTCTGATACAGAAGAGCCAGAGGCAACGTTAGTTTGTTCTTTGTCCATCCAACACTGCTCTGATTTCTCCTCAGCCATATCCTTCTAGAATCATATCAAAAGCCCAAAACCACAATCAACAATCAAAGCATATAACTTTCTAAAGAACACACACCCAACTACACATTCACTACATAACAAATACAAATCACCATGAAACCCACGAAAACTCTAAAAGTTTCAATCTTTAGAAGTACAAGAAGAGAAATCGAAACCCCACAAGCCGTTATTAAATCAACACCATTACCAACATGGAAAAACGGCAAAACACCCCCATCACAGGAAACATGAGAATTTTTGTGGACATTCACAACACACACCCAAATAGTAATAATTAAATAAAAAAAAAACTCCATTACCATAAAAATCGAAACCTATAGAGAAAACAAAAAAACGCAAGAAGTCGTTGGGAAAAACAAGAAACGTTACCATAATAGAGAAAGAGAGAGTGAGAGAGAAGAGAAGAGAAGAAGAAGAAAAAGAGGGAAGAAAATGATGAATTTGTTTGAAAGAGAAGAGGTACCTCTGCTACTAGCAGAAAAGTGGCGGGAATTGAGCAAGGAACGAGGTAGAAATTGCGGAGAGCAAGCGAGGAGAGTAATGGCTTTCGAAAACAGGTCGCCCGTTGAAACAACGTAACAAAAAGGAACAAAATTTAATTATGTTTCAAAATTAATAAAATAATATTAGATAACGAATTTACATTCACCACCGACAATTTCGCTATTAAGTATTTTACCGTTTCGCTTTTATTTTCTATCTTTTATTTCACAGATATATATATATATATATATATATATATATATATTATTTTATCTATCTTAGGTAACAAAAAAAATTAGTTATTGTTTTTAGCAATATTAAGTTACTGTGTTAAATCCTAAGCGTACATATAAGATTATATTGAGAGACAATACTGGTTTTGAAAAAATAATTAAAATTACTACTTTCACCTTGTTAATTACCGTTGATCTATAAATGAGTTTTATTTTTGTTTTAAAAGGTATTAATATTTTAGTATGTGTAATGAATAAAATAATATTTTTTATTTAACTAAAATTTATAATAAATAAATATTTGTGAATATATAAATTATATTGTTATTAAAATGAATATTTTCAACATTTAAATTATATTTCGTATTTTTATAAATAATTTCTGTTAAGATACGAAATTATTTTAATTGTTGATAATTTTTGAAAAAAAATTATTGAAATTTTTTTTTAAATCAAAAAAGATAAGCATATAT